CCCCAAAACCCCAAAACCCCAAAACCCCAAAACCCCGATTCAAAATTAGAATTGAATTATATAATTTGTTATGGAGTTCAGAACAAAAGTTCCAATCCACATCCAAGCTTCAGAAGAATTAGCTCTTATAGAGAGACAAAGACCAACTAAGGTAAAGCCATTGAATAAAATAAATCGGAAACCAAATCCTTTTGCTTCCAGCGTATTTCCCTCCAATGACAAATTTACTGGAACCAAGGTTATTGATGGAGACACTAAGACCCAGTTCCGCATTCGACCCCAGACTCCCAAGCTTGACATGATTCTGCTCCAGAAAGCCAAGAGAAAGCAACTTCGCAAGTTAGACGCCAAGCCTGTCAGGAAAGCAGTCATTGAGAAGAAAGTTCCCCAAACTCAAAAGAGGAGGATCAAAATTTAAGAGAAAGAACTCCAATAATAACCCTGACAAACAGTCAACGACAGTCGATAATAACGAAGAAGACAAATCCGAGGTCGTAAAGACCCAGCAGAACTTCTTCGGAGCCAAGCTCGAAGTTGACCTCGACCGAGATCTCAGAGACGACTTGTCTGATGGCGAAACGATTCTGTCTCAGGGCAAGCCAGAAGCAGGAGTGCTGTTCGGCGCAGCCTACGAGAACGCATACTTCGACATCCTTGAAAATGAGGGAGTCAGCAACGACACTGAGATAAACGAGCGGCTGCTTGAGATTGCTCTCGGAATGTCCAAAGACGAACTCAGAGAGCTCGACAAAATTGAAATTGTCGTTGATACAACCAACACCCACATGCAGCATGTAGGAGAAGTCCTTCAGAGTTTGCAGGCACTCAAGCTCAACGATAGTGTGATCCCCTGAGTCAGAGACCTGGGGACAAGCTTCCGCAACCTCAGAGTGCTGTCTATCAGCCGGTGAGAGATGACCAGTCTGGCAGGTCTCTCGTCGATGGAACACCTCACAGAATTGTACGCAAGTTATAACGACATCCAGGATTTGTACGACATCAGCTACTGCGACAAGCTTGAGGTTCTGGATCTTGAAGGCAACAACATTTCAACCTGGGACAACGTCTCATATTTGATGGGACTCGACCACTTAATCGAAGTGCACTTGGAATGAAATCCGATTGCGGAAGAACCCAATTACCACAACAGAGTCAAAGAAATCATTAGGCAGGTCCGCTACATCGACAACATCCACGTTGACGCCATCGAGCCAGAAGAAGACAAGCAATTTGTGGAGCATGACTTTGTGGAAGCAAGTGTGGTCGAAGAGAAAGTGTTCGTCCTATCAAAGTTCGCGAAATTCAGCATTTTGAAATTCGATGACCTCATCCGCCTTGCTGACGAAGCCATCAGAGCCATGCCTGAAGAAGAAGATGAAGACGCTCTCATCAAGAAGAGCATCAAATAGCCACGACAGAAAGAACAAAGCATTTGAAAAAGAAACTTTTGACGTATTTGATTACGAGAACGATACCGAACTGGAAAATGAAGACTGTTCTGATACTGAGAGATCCCGCAAAGATACCAAGAAGAAAATGTGGAGGAGCTGAACCAACGGCTTCTTCAAGCGTCAGTCCTCAATGGGCTCAGGCTCAGACGCAGTCAACAGAAGCAACTTCGTTGATGATTCAGACTCGGTGTTCAGAAGCAGCATGAGAGGATTCTTCACTGGCAAGAACAAAGAAAACAAGAACCAAAACAACACCATTTATGGGTCGTCTAACAGCACAACCGAGTCAAACGAGTACTCGAGCTTGGTGTCGAACAGCAACGTAGCGTTCTCAGGGAACCCTCTCAGAGCTCTGAGACATGGCAAGAAAAACGCATTTTCGAACTACGGGTCTTCAGACTTGCTGGAAGCCAAGGGTATTGAAGAACTCATGAACGACTTCAGCCGGAGCGCCCAGAACTTCAAGTCCACAATCAACAACATGGATGTGGGAGAACGCTTAAAGCAAAACCACCAGAAGAACAAGCTCGAAGAGTGAATGGAGTCACCGACTGAGAGAATGGGCAGTAGTCCTGTGAAGCTGGCTAGAGGGTCTTTGACACTGTCGAAGCACAAAATATCATTGAAGAAAGGAGGGCCGGTAAAGGCCAACCATGTGATTAAGAAATCTTTAATAAAACTAAAATAGGTCTTGAACTATTTCTATGAACTAGTCAGATAAAGGGGTTTTGGGGTTTTGGGGTTTTGGGGTTTTGGGG